GCAATTGTCCCATAATTTAATACATTAGAGTTAAAAAAATATGTTAACTTTTGGTTGTCCAAATACCTTAAATAGAATTTAGAATACAAATAAATTATTGAATATTTTAAAACATTAAAATCTATAATCATATTTATAAAGAAAACATGGATTAAAAAAATCTATGGAAATGTATTAAAATACATTCGAAGGTAGTAAAGTTTCAAAAATATTTCTATGGAAATGTATTAAAATTAATCGTAAATTTTATGGAGATACTCTTAACGATTTTCCTAGTTTTCCAATTATAAATAATGGTACTAAAATTTCGGATGTTGTTATCGTCAATCAATGAATCAGAATATGGTAATTCTTATTTAATTGGAATATTTCCACAATATTGTTGTTGTGTAGAATTTACTAAAGATTTTCATACTTTTAAATTTGGAGTTGATGATACATAAATTCTGGACCATAATATGTCCATTATTAATTAGATATCGAAAATGTTAATTCTTTTTTTACTTAAAGCTTTCAATATTTCCAATTATCAAAGATTTTCATATTTGAAAATTAGAATTGATGATACATAAATTTCAGAACAGCCAAATTCCACACTTTTAAATTTGAAGTTGCTCATAGAATTTATTTCTGAGATATTCTTAAATTTCGGATAGGCAAATTTGTGGAAATAACGATTTTCATAATCTTGTAAATGTCAGATTAATCTGTGTAGATTTTACTAAAGATTGTCATACTTTTAATTTTCGAGTTGATGATACAAAAATTTACATTTGGACCGAAACGAAATGTAATCGATTTATTTAATTGATCTTTTTGGTTGAATAGTATTTTTGGAAATAAAGTAAGATTCATTAAAATTTAAAATAAATTATTTTTAAAAGTAACAATAACTAAAATCTATAATCAAATAATCGAAAGAAAGCATGTAAAAATAATCTTATATTCTGCGAGATTATTTTTTGATAATCATTTCTTATCTTCATCAATGGAGCCATCATTCTCATCCTCCTTTTGAGTTTGAGCTAATGTTAATTATTGAGTTTGGACTAATTTTAATTAGAGATTAATGAGGTAAATTAGAAAGAATGTTATGTCATATTTTAAGGGATGTCATGTCACATTAAAATTGGGAGAGTGATTTTGGTGAAGACACCTAGTTTTTTTAGAAAAATCACTCTCCAATTAATATATAAGGGATATTGTTATGTCAATTAATTGGAACCCAAAAGGGAAAAACAATAAAACCAGTCAATATGAATTG